AGCTGTCTGGCATATGAGAGAGGCTTAGCAAATATTAATGGAAAGAATAAAAAATAAGATTTTCTTCTCTAGCAGATTTTCTATTTCTCTATTAACAATGTATTAATTTGAACATGTCCTCAATAGGCCTGATTTTCAGCTCTCAAATCAACTATCATTCTAAAGATTATACAGCTCAATAAAATGTGTAGAAAAGTACAGAAAAGTTTCAGAGTCTTTTTGCCTCTCCAGCAGGCTGTACCCTCAACTGTACAGTGAGGGGCTGAATTACATAGGGTTCAAAGTGTCTCCCAATGCCAACAAAACGTTATTTGTCCTTAGGAAACAAACTAGATATAACAACAGAGAAGATCATTTTACAAGGAGGCATGAAACCTTTGAATGTGTAAGTTTACATTAAAAAAAAAAGGAACAAAGAGAACATTCAGTTGATTACCAAAACCCATCTTTAACACGTGGAAACATAGGCCTGAACTGTGGCAATGAATTTTTATTAATTTGATGGCATTTGACTCCCTGGCAAATCATACACTAAGGCCATAGAAATGGTTTATTTTATCTTCTCACTTGAACTGGCCTACTCTGCGTATCTGTAAGGTGACATAATAGAATCAGTAATGTCTCCAGCGGGGGAGGGTGTAGCTCAGTGGTAGAGCGCACGAGTAGCATGCACGAGGTCCTGGGTTCAATCCCCAGTCCCTCCATTAAATAAGTAAGTGAATAAACCTAATTACCACCCCCCCAAAAAAGCAAACAAAAACAGTAATGTCACCAAACAAGTGGTGAAACACCGTCAGATAATACCATTCACAACTAGAAAAAGTTCATTTTGGTTACAAAGTCATGCACGTACATTTGAATACAATAACCAAATGTCTGTAAGTTACGATTCAGCAATTACTAACTTATTTAATAATGAAAAGTAAAGATGTCCCAACCACTCCTCTTACCATGCTCATTTCCCCAAGGTAGCGAGTGTTACCAATGGGTTCTCCCTGCTTCTCTGCGTGTACACACAATAAAAATAGATGCCCCTGTTGTGCAAGGTACTTGTAAAATGTTACTTTTTCTTGCCATTGTAGTGTTGCCACAGGCGGTCACCCAGTTTGAAGAGTTGGTGGGGATGGCCGAGGCCCTGCTCAAGGGTGGAGGAACCCTGACCACGGCGGCGTCCACCCTCTGGAGAGCAACAAATAACTCCTCACCAGACTCATTTGCCTCCACGTGCAGCAATTCTAATTCTAATTCCAGTTCACCGATTTCCCTGAAAGCTGAAGAGGAGCATCATGCGGACGAGAAACAGGTCAGCTGGACAACCTGCCCTACCTCCCCCTGGGACACGGTTACACACAAAATTCAGGGGAAAGCCCAAATGATCATGGGTGACTTCAAGTCGATCGCCATGTTCTGACTACATAAAGCCACCTTTGACAATAAATCTAACATCTGTGAAAGAAATTTCCAACTTGGAAAATTAAAGCCAAATTGTGGACAATGATGAAGTTAAGCCAGAAAATTCTTAGGGGGGAGGCTATAGCTCAGTGGTAGAGCGCATGCTTAGCATACATGCTTAACATATTGGTTCAATCCCCAATACCTCCATTAAAGTAAATAAATAAACCTAATCACCTCCCCACCCTCCAAACGACAAAAAACTAGAAAATTCCTAAACCAGTGGCAGAGGGACAATTACACACAAAGGGTCCTAAAACTACACCAGGGAGACGAGGTGAGTCTCATCCCGTGCCTGCCTGCTGAACACAGTTCTATTCTCCCAGCTTCTCTTAGTCGAGAAACCGAGGCTAAGAAAGAGAAAGAAAAATACCATATGATATCATATGTGGAATCTAAAAAGAAAAAAGAAAAAAGAGGACACTAATGAACTCAGCTACAAAACAGAAACAGGCTCACAGACGTAGTCAATAATCTTATGGTTACTGGGGGAAAGGGGGTGGGAAGGGATAAATTTGGGTGTTTGAGATTTGCAAATGTTAACCACTATGTATAAAAACAGATAAAAACAAAAAAATTAATCAAATGATACCAAATGAAAACAGGAAAAAAAGAAACAGTGGCTAGAGGTATAAGTTCTGTTAGAATCAGGTATCAGCCTGGGAAAATATGTCATCATGAGACAGCAGTTAAATCCTCACAATCTAACGTTCAGAATATTTGAATCTTAGTGCAGTGGTTTCCTTCTGCTATGTAACAGATCACTGCACACTCGGTGATTTGCAAGAATGCAAATGTATTACCCCAGCGTTCTGCAGGTCCGAGGTGTGGTGCTGGCAGGCGCACTCCTTTCTGGAGGCTCTGGAGAGGAGTCTGTTTCCTGCCCACGGGGGCTGCTGAAGAATTCAGTTTCTCGTGGTTGTAGAGCTGTTTTACGGCCGACTGTAACCTGAACGCCGTTCCCTGGTTCATGGCCCACTTCCAACCGTCTTCCAAGTCAGCCCTGCACGCCGAGTCCCCCTCACTCTTCAAATTTCTCCTCCTTCCTCCGTGTCTTTTTTCTGACCTACTCTTCTGTCTCCCTCTTCTGTATTAAAGGGCTCTTGTGATGCAATTGGGCCCACGTGGATAATCCAGGAATCCAGCATCTCAAAGTTCTTTAATGATATTTACAAAGTTGATTTCCCCCATAAGGTAACATATTCGCACGTCCCAGGGATTACAATGTGGATATTGCCAGCTGGCCATTACTCTGCTGACCACACTTAACAGGAAGTGCTGGGGATGGACCAGGCCTTAAGGCACCAATCCAGGTTACATGACAAGAATTTGTATACATTCTGGAACAAATACGTCATAAATATGGGGCATTCTCTCAAAGATAACATTACCCTCTAATCCTTGAAATGTAAAATATATATTAAAAGCATAACAGATCACTTTAAGGAATGTTGATTTTGTTTCCTGGTATGTATTCCTTCAATTAGTAACTGATTTCTTCAGATATTTTTCCTTTTCTTTCTCAGTTGTTTCAATTATTGCTTTTAATTATTTTAGTTCAAGATTGAGAAATGGCAGATTGCCCGCTGTAACAAGAGCAAGCCTCAGAAGTTCATCAATGATTTAATGCAAGTGCTTTACACAAATGAATACATGGCCACACACAGCCTCACAGGGGCCAAATCCTCTACTTCGAGGGACAAGGCGGTAAAACCAGCTATGAATCAGAATGAAGTTCAAGAGATCATAGGTGATGATACGATTGCACTGCACTGTCAAATGAATTTGAAATTATTTTGCCATTCAAGTTTAAGTTGTTCTTTGATCATCTTTTTTTCCTTCAACTTTCTTTTTCTTTTTTTCTCCCTTTTTTTTTAATTGAAGTATAGTCAGTTTACAATATTGTGTCAATTTCTGGTGTACAGAATAAGATTCCAGTCATACATATGCATACATAGATTCGTTTTCATTCTTTTTCATTATAGGTTATTATAAGATATTGAATATAGTTCCCTGTGCTCTACAGAAAAAACTTGTTGTATATCCGAATTTGTCTTTGAGAGAAAAATCTTAGGATAGCCTAAAACCTCTTATTATATTTGGGGAATTTTGTGGAAAAAACTTTACATTAAAAGTAGTTAGTCAAATAAAAATAAATCTTATACCAGTGAAGAGTTTGGATTCATATAATTAATAGCTTTAGAAAAGTGAATTTTATCAAATCTTCTTGAACAAAATTTTAGTAACAGCTTGTATCTTATTTTCTCTTCCTTATCTTGACTATATATATATTCTTTATTTCTAATTCAGAAGAATAGGTTATGGTTTTCATCCTATTTGTGGTTTTTAAGTTAATCTCCTTAAATAAAATAATCTATATGACCAAGTAATTTTTTTTTGCAAATATCCAACAAATTTAGAGAATCACTGAATCCAGACTCTCTATATGTTAATCATATGTCATTTATCAGTTAGAAAAGAGTCAATCACAATCTACCTGTTTCAACTGATGTTGGGAACAGATAAAAATAAATTCCTCGCATTTTGGATCAAGGGCGCTTAGCATTCAGAGCAGTACCAAGGTCAAAGCTGAGTGAAAGACCAGCATGTATGCGCTGAGTTTATGATACAGACCTTTGCTATGCCTTGCTTCGCTTTGAAAAATCTGCCTGTAGATTCTTCTATTTAAATACCTCATGGGTGTTTGGGCTGCTTTTTCAAGATGGAGACAAAGTTATAATGTGAATTGCTTGATGCTTTATCTCAGCTCATACCTTAAGATGCAAAGGCCTGATAAAGTGGGGTTTTTTAAATTAATTAATTAATTTTTATCAAAGTATAGTTGATGTATATTATATAAATTATAGGTGTACAATACAGTGATTCACAAGTTTTCATGTTTATGCCCCATTTATAGCTATTATAAAATACTTGCTATATAGTCCCCGTGTTGCACAGTAGATCCTCGTGGCCTATTTCATACCTGAGAGTTTGTACCTCTTCTCCCTCCCCCATCTGCTCCCCCCTTCCGACTGGTAACCACCGGTTTGTTCTCTGTATCTGTGAGTCTGCTTCTTCCTTCTGATAAGGTGTTTTTGTGTGTTTGGTTGTTGTTTTTCTTTTGTTTTTTTTTTTTACAGGAGTCACAAAACAGTTATTTCCCAACACAGACGATGTTTCAATTAGGAGAATGATAGGGCAAAAGCTAAACAACTGCACCAAGAAGCCAAATTTAAGCAAAAATCTGAACTCTCAGGATGTTAAGTAGAGCCTTTCGGTAAGTCTTGCAAATCTTCACAATCCTTTCTGTGGGGCAAGAAGATGTAATACCTGTGCTCACGGAACAGCACGGATCTGCACACACACCCCTAGAGAAGACCAGAGGCCTGGGAGGTGCTCACAGGTGTTCCTGGGGGCAGAGGCAGGGGCAGGGAAGGGGGCTGCATGTGGGAAGTGCTGCGTCAGTTACCCAGATTTCCTTTCCCCGAGCCTCTCACGTCTTTTGACACCCTCTAAACATGCCCAAGTGCACCAGAGTCTTAAGAAGGGGAGAGGGTAGGTGGTGTTTTCCAGGTGTGTTTTGCTGAGGAACTTGTCTTCTTCACAGAGCATTTGTTACCTTGTGGGTGTGTTGCCAGTGGTGAGGGTCTTGTCTCGCTGCAGAAAGAATTCAGAGATGGGACGCAGAGGTTAAGGAAGTAAAGTGAGGATTTATTAAGGGATGGAGAGCACCCTCTCAAAGGGAGGTGGGCAGGCTCAGGTGAGCGGCTGCCCTGAGTGTCTTTGGCAAGTGGGTTACAGAGGGTG